TTTTATTTCCTCCTGCAACTACTCACAAGGATACCCACCAAACACTGGTACCCCACACTCATTGGTCCTTCGAACAACCCCCAACATTAGGTCAAGCGAGCAGGATCAGGTTAGTTTAGAACTTGATCCCCCATCATTTGGTCCTTTCGAGCCGGATCAGGTTAGATTAGAACTTGATTCCTCAACAAAATCGTTATCTCATATCATTTTTGGCAACTAGGCGCAATGGATAGCGGTTATATTTTTTCCCTTTAACAGCGATATTTAACACCAACAGCGGCACATTCATTGGAACAACGCGCAAAAGTTGATAACGCGAGTCACTAGAACACGGTTGCCATATCCTTACAAGGTTTAACTAATCCGCCGATAAATTTCAACGGTGCATACCAGTTGGGTTTTTAAACCGGATTAACTTTTAAATGCGTTTTGTTGATAGCGATTAGGTAGCTTGGCGGTGCATACGGCGGTAACCGTAAATCATTTTCAAAAATCTCACAATATAAGATTTAAAAAAACTAACAGCCAAATTAACCCAAACTAACAGTACCAACTTTATCCATCGATTTCGAGTGGGTGGGTGTTTTGGAAACCGGAAAAACGAACATTTTCACGATCATCATAATTTTAATATTTAGGAGCCCAACACATAACTATTATTATATAACTTTTAAATACAAATAACAAGTTTTACTGTTACTAATACGAAACCTGCTATCCGTTCACATCAAGTTTCAGATTACCAAGAAATTCTCGTCGAAAATTAAAAAAACCGTTAATTATTACGTTATGATTTCAATGTAGAATCGTTACTAAGACACTCCTAAATGCAAATACACACCTTAGAATGCTTCTTTACCTTCACTGGTAAGATAATCAGCACACTTTGGAAACTTCGCATCTAACTCCGATGCAAATTTGCTTTGCTTAGATACAGTCCCTGAATAGGTCTAATTTATGACGTCACTACTTATCACAAGTATTGTTAATATGGCTATTCAGTACTCTGCCCTAAACATTAATATGTTCAAAGCCAAGTACCCTGTATCTTAAGAATTTATCGGTGAGGAGTGCCACGAAATTCAGCGCATCCGAAAAATTCTGAATATTTTTTATAAAATATCGAATGCACCACCACTCTTCACTTCTTAATATGAAGTTGCATGGAAATGCTGCAACAGTAAGACAAAAAACGACAAAACTTATACTATTTAACAATTGTTAAAAACTAGAAAAAAATGTGAAAGTTTTGAAGTTTTTTGTTAAACTGTATATTTTTTTACTTATAAATAAAATATTTTATAGCAATTTTACCTGTATTAATATTGCTTTTACTAGAGAGAGCAAAAACTCTAATATTATTGCCCTTCGGAAATGTAATTATGATTTTTCATACCTGAAATCTTTAAGAGAATTGAATTTTGTTATATTTTTAGCAATAAGGTAAGTATCATACTGTAATTGTTTAAAAGAAAACCAAAACAGCTAAATATTGCAGCAAATCTCCGTATAAGTCAATGAGATAGAAAGAGACACACCCGTCAGGACAGAGGGTTGCCTACATTTTGATTTTGCATCACTTTTGTCGTGCATTGGTCTCCGTACCATCGTCATCGCGCCGCGCATTCCCCATAGAACAAGGCTTATATAGAAACGACTCTTACTCTTGACGAAAGTGTGTCGCTAAAGTGGCGCGCCCTGGTGGCTGAGAATTAAAGAATTCAAACAAACGTGCATTATGAACCCACTACACTTGCTTATTTTTAATTGTGCCGCAAGGGGCAGCAGATAATAGGGATAAATGACACAATTACACAAAAATACATATAAATATACAGGGTTGCTCATTAGTGCGTCAAAGTGCGATATCTCAGTAAATATGAACTTTACAAGAAAATACGTCCTACGAAAGTTTTTCA